CTGATTTTATTTCCTACTTTTCCAGCACAATAGTTTTTAGACTTATTTAAAATGCAATTTTATTTTGAAATAGTTTTAGATTTACAGAAAGTTTGCAAAAAAGACAGTTACCATGTGTGACCCACACTCTGGTAGAGGGTCTGATCTTAGAAACCAGGATAGTAGGATACTTTAGCTTCTAAATTAGAAAGTATCTTCCCTCCTCTGGATATTTAAAAATGCCAAGCTTTCAAACATATATAATTATATAAATGTTACATGTGTATGTATGTGTGTATGTGTTTATATATGTTTTACATGTATGTATAGGATATATATATATATATATATATATATATATATATATATATATATATAAAATATATGAAAATTTGTTGGAAAATGTTGGATTTACCAAGGATTTACTGACTTAACCCAGGCCAGAAAGTGACTGAATCTACACTCTTGAACTAAAATCTAAGTTATCTTTACTAAGGTCACATTAAGAACCATACTTCCACAGAGTGAGCTGGTCTGGGCTCAGTGGGCTCTCAAAATATTATAGGATTTAAATTCCATTGCCTCTTAGATAATTACCTAGAAATTCTTTCCAAGAAAAAGAGCTGTTGACCTCATACCTCTGCCTGTTGTTGTCCCACTTTCAGCAGGGACTATGTATTGGATTCATACCCCCAAGGAGGACTTGTGGTAGTTTGAGCTGGTGGTGGTTGACCCTCTGTACCATAAAGTCACTTTGGCTTCACCTTTCACAGTAGCAGACTTCCCTAAGGAAAAGCCCGATCAAGGCAAAGTGGAATAGTAATCCAATGGAAAAATAAACCACTTTTAAAAAACTTTCTCATTTTGGAAAAAATGCAAACATATACAAAATTAGACTAGAATAATGAACCCCCATATTCTAGCACCAATAATTAATGATTTCTGTTCATCCATAAAATGTCATACACACGCGTGCGCGCGCGCACACACGCGCGCGCACGTGTGGGTATGTGCAGTTGTAAGTTGTTTAAAGTAGTTGGTCCTTTTTATTCACAGATTTCATATTTGCAAGTTTACCTACTTGCTTAAACTTATCTTTAACCCCACAATCAGTACCTGAAGTACTTTCATGGTCATTCGTGGACCTGCACAGATTGGCCAAGCACTCAATGTTCTCAGTTGAGTTTGGATAAAATGACACACTGTCTTCTTGTTTTAGCTCTTATGCCATATCTTTTTCATAGTCTATCTAATGCCACATTTTATGCCTTTTGTTGATGATTTCACTGTTTAAAATGGCCCCTAATCATTACACTGATATGTTGTCTAGTGTTCCTAATTGCCAGAAGTGATGTGCCTTATGGAGAAAATATATGTATTAGATAAGCTTCATTTAGGCATGAGTTATAATACTTTTGGTTGTGAGTTCAATGTTAATGAATCAACAATATGGTACATCCAGAAAAAGGAAGAAGAAATTTGCCCGTTAATATGTGAGGCTTGGGGCCGGAGTTGTGGCTCACTGGTAGAGCACTTGGCTAGCATGTGTAAGGCAATGGATTCAATCCCCGGCATCACGTAAAAAATAAAGTAAATTAAAAATAAAATAAAGTAAAGATATTGTGTTCATTTACAACTAAAATAAAATATGTGAGCCTTCTCTGGGAAGAGATAAGATACCATCTTTAGTGTGAGATGAAGCTGTGAAATAGATGGAAAAGCACCTAAATTAATGGGTTTATGAGATGACTGATTTTAAAAAGCAGAGTGGAGAGCACTGTTGTGTGGCTGAAAACTAAAGTCATTTATGGTCATGCTACCTGAGAGCAGGAAAAATTTAAACCCTTCTCGCCTCATGTTTTGTTGTAAAGAAATATCATATATAATTAATTCTTTTTTAATTTTCTTTCTTTCTTTATTTTTGCATTACAATTCTTAATACACCATTATATCATAATTTATCATATCTCTGATTATATATAAGGTATGTTGACACCAAATTCAATTCTTTAAAAATATAGATAATAAATAAGATATCTTTAAACAGAAACATATAAAACTAATTCATGTATTGATCATTTGAAAGGAATGAGACCAGAGGTTCACGGGAACTGAACCTTGGAGTTCTACTGTGAATAGTTCACTATTTGCTAATTAATTGTATAAGTTGACTTTATATAGCCTCACTACCACAAATAATAAGAATCATTTGTGTACACCCTGACATAGGTTGTATGTGTGTTTGGGAAGAGTTTAATCCAAACTGCAGATATGCTAACGTTTTATTTGTAAATATTTTAATGTCTCTCTAACCACAGTGGTTCTCCAAAGTGTGGTCTGAGTAACCCTGGAGACACCTGGGACCTTTTCAGGGTGTTTAGGAATTCGTCCTTTTTCTAACTGTATCTCCATGAATTCGGATTTTTTTCGTAAAATTCAACCAAAACAACATATTAGAACCTTAAATGCAGAAGCAAATATGAGAATCTAGCTGTCTTGTATTAATGCAGATATTAAAGTTATTTGCAAAAAATGTAAAGTGGTTCTTTTAATAAAATTTTATTTACACAAATTTGTAGTGGGTTCATTGTTATTTTTTCTATTTTTCTATTTTTTTCTTTTTGGTTCTGGGATCAAATGCAAGACCACACAAGTGCTCTACCACTGAGCAACACCCCAGTCACTATTGTTATTTTAAAGGGTTAGTAAACATTTTTACAATTTCAGTTTTTATTTCTAAAACATTATATTTCTATCTCCTACATGAACAAAAGCTATTTAGGATGTAAAATATTAATATTTTTATCATATGCATGTAACTTTATTTTAAAAATATAAATATAAAAATATAAATTAAAAAATATTTTGTTTATTTAGTTGTAGTTGGACACAATACCTTTATTTTTATTTTTACGTGGTGCTGAGGATTGAACCCAGGGCCTCGCTCACACTAGGTGAGTGCTCTACTGCTGAGCCACAGCTCCAGCCCAGGTCAGTATTTTAAAAAGAAACATTAGTGCACTTTCCTTCAGCATACCTATTTGCAAAACCTATCAAAAGGTGGAGGACTTTTTAAACTGCCTCACATATGCATGAATAGCAATTAACACAGTAAGAACAATTCTGGTTATGAAATGTACCAAGGTAAATTTCTGCGACTCTGGAATTTGAAATAGTTTTCTTTAAAAAATATTTTAAGGGGCTGGGGTTGTGGCTCAGGGGTAGAGTGCTTGCCTAGCATGCATGAGGCACTGGGTTTGATCCTCAGTACCACATAAAAATAAATTAAAAAATAAAGGTATTGTGTACATTTACAACTTTAAAAAATATTTTTAAAATATTTTAAAATAATTATAGACTCACAGAAATTGCAAAAGTAGTATATAGAGACCCATGTACCTATCACCAAGCTCTCCCTCTTAGTGATATGTCATATAGCTAGCATAATCTCAAATTCAGGAAATTTGTAATGGTACAATAATATTAACTAGAATGTGGGCTTTATTCAGTTTTCATCATTTTTACATGTGTTCATGTACAAGTGGTTCTCTGTGGTTTTATCCCATGTATACACTTAGTGAGTTGGGTGATCATCAGCACTGCCAAGGTGTAAAACTCTTCAGTTGCCTCCTTTGTATTTTCCATTTATATTCATATCCATACTGCTTTACTTTTACACCTTGTCAGTGATTGATCTGTTCTCAATCTCTAAATTTTTGTAATTTTGAGAATGTTATGCAAATGAAATCCTGTACTTTGGGGATTGACTTTTTTTTTCACTAAGTATAATGTTCTTGAGGTCCATATGGGTTGTGATTGAAAGACTTATGGATTACCTGGTTTTGCTATTGTAAAGTTACCATGAACATTTACATACAGGTTTTTGTGTGAACATAAATTATCATTTCTCTTGGATAAATGCCCAGTGACTTGTGGAGTTCTATGATAAGTACATGTTTAGTTATGCACATATCAGAATGAGCCTTGCCATTGTATATTCCTAAAAGCAATGTATGAAAAATTTCCATTGCTAGGCTGGGTGTGGTGGTACACACTTGTATTACCAGTGACTTAGGAGGCTGAGGCAAGGAGATGGCAAGTTCGAGACCAGACTTGGAAACTTGGTGAGATCCTCAACAATTTAGTGAGACCCTGTCTCAAAAATAATAAAAAAAAAAAAAAAAAAAAAAGGCTGGGTACAGTGGCACATGCCCATAATCCTAGCAGCTCAGGAAGCTGAGGTAGGAGGATCACAAGTTCAAAGCCAGCCTCAGCAACTTAGCGAGGCCCTAAGCAATTCAGAACCTGTCGCTAAATAAAAATATAATACAAGACTTGGGGTGTGGCTCAGTGGTTAAGCTCCCTTAAGTTCAATCCCTGGTACCAAAAAAAAAAAAAGAAAGAAAGAAAGAAAATTTAAAAATGACTGGGGATATAGCTCAGAAGTAAAGCACCCCTGGGTTCAATCCCCAAGTACCAATTAAAAAATTCAGTTGCTAACATTTATTATTACCATTATTTATATTATCCATTCTCATTGGTGTGGTTTTACTTTGCATTTCCCTAATGGCTAATGATGATGTACATATTTTCATGTTCTTCTTTGTCATCTGTATATTCTCTTTTCTATCCATACCTTTTGCTTATTTTCCAAATGGATCTTTATTTTTAACTATAGGATTTTGAGAGTTCTTTATATATTCGGTATACCAATCCTTTGTTGTATATATAGTTTGCAAATATGTTCTTCCAATCTGTAGTTTGTATTTTCAACCTCTTAATAGGATCTTTTCAGCATAATAACTTTTAATTTTGTTAGTGTAATATGTAATTTTTCATGTTTTTATTGTTTCATGATTTTTATATTTAAGTCCACAGTCCACTTTGAGTTTATTTTTTTTCAAACTATTAAAGAGATTTGTTTTTGAAATTTCTTTTAGTTGTTGATTGACCTTTTTTTATTTTTTTCTTTAACAACAGAAATTTACTCTCTTGCATTTCTGTTTTTTTTTTGGTTATAGATGGACACAATGCCTTTATTTATTTATATGTGGTGCTGAGGACTGAAGCCAGCACCTCACATGTGCAAGGTAAGTTCTCTACCACTGAGCCACAACCCCAGCCCTGCTTATTTATTTATTTATTTATTTGTAGTGCTGAGAATCGAACCCAGTGCCTCACATATGCTAGGCAAGTGCTCTACCAATGAGCTACAACCCCAGCCTCTTGATTTTATTTTCGTAGATGGTGTGAGGTTCAATTTTTTTCCTATGGATGAACATTTATTCCAACACCATTTTTTAAAAAATTCTATCCTTCTTCCATTGAAGTTTGTTACACCATTTGTAAAGTCAGTTGAGTGTACTTGTGCTGGTCTGTTACTCATTTCCCTTGATCTGTATCTGTCACTCCCCAAGGATCCTACTGTCTCAATTTACTGTATCCATCCAATATTTTAACTTGCAATAAAGATATTCCCCCAGTTTATTCTTCTCTTTAAAAGTTGTTTTAACTATTCTAGTTGCTTTACCTTTTCCTATAGGTTTTGTAAGCTTGCCTATATTAATGATAAATCTTGGTAATATTTGGATAATAATTATGTTAAATGTACAGATCACCTTGGGGGAAATTTACATCTTTACTATATTGAGTGTTCTATTCAATGAACACTGTATATTTTTCTTTTTCTTTTTTTGTACCAGGGATTGAACTCTGGGGCACACCCCCCCCCTTTTTTGAGAGGGTCTCGCTAATTTGCTGGAGCTGGCTTTGAACTCATGATTCTTCTGCCTCAGCCTTCTGAGCTGCTGGGATTACAGGAGTGGGCCACCATGCCCAGCTATTTTTCCATTTTTAAAGAAATGTTTTTTCTTTCATCAACATTTTATAGAAAGGGATGTACTTATGACATGAGAGGACTGGTGAAGTCTCAGTGCTTCATCCCAGCAAGGAGCAGGCATGCTGCTTGCTGTGTGAATTCGGTAGCCTCAGTTTCCTCATTTGTGGTCACAGCTCCTTCATAATATCATTGTGAAGATTTAAAGAGACAGTGGAGGTCTGAGTCCTGCCTCTGTCTTCTTTACTTTCCTCCCTTTCACCCTTTGCTTTTTGGGCCTTTCGAGCCCTCGTCTGTGACCCCCATAGGCACTAATAGTGGGAATGTCTTCCAAGGGGTGTCATGAGGAATGAAGGTGAGAATTGACTGCCTGATAATATAGGGACATCTAGGCAGTGATTATTAGTAGTATTCTGCCTTTCTCTGAGAGAAACTTGATGGAAACCAAGAAGATAGCTCCAAGAGCCGGTAGCAAGATCTTGCTGTAGGTTTGGGACAATGGAGAAAGTTCATCATAGCACAACAGACAATAGGAAAGAAAATCTCCAAACCTTGTGACAGCTATGACCCAACTTTCACATAAAAAGAATTAAACTGTCTGTGTATAAAAGCAGATTTAGAGGCATACACACCAAACTGGACTGCCAGGAGTTGAGGGACTTTTACATTTACTTTTTCCCCGTTTGTGCTTGAAAGCTATTTCTTTTTAACTGAGTTTGTGTTGTACTAAACAATATCAAAATAAATTATTTTTCTTTTTTTTAGAGAGAGGAGAGAGAGAGATGGAGAGAGAGAGAGAGAGAGAGAGAGAGAGAGAGAGAGAATTTTTTAAATATTTATTTCTTTTAGTTATTGGCGGACACAACATCTTTCTTTGTATGTGGTGCTGAGGATCGAACCCGGGCCGCACGCATGCCAGGCGAGCGTGCTACCGCTTGAGCCACATTCCCAGCCCCATAAATTATTTTTCAAAGGCCAATCAGTTGAAAAAATTAACTAGTTAGCAAACTGTGCACACACAAATATAGTGGGATAATTTCCCTTAAATTTCTCTTCCATTCAGCTGCCTGCCTGGCCTTTGTGCTTCTTCATCTCCTTGGCTCTCCAGCTTCCTATCCACCAAAGTTTCTGAGTTATCCTTGTGCAGGAGATTTGAGTTACCCTTTCCCTTAGACCTGGGTCATCTCACCTTGGTTCATGGAGCCTTAATCCCCTCCCCAAATAAGCAAGCATTCCACAGCTGTCTTTGTGACTGAAGACAGTTCCTTCTGTGAAAGGAATTACTTGGTTAGCTCATAAAGGGATTCCCCACCCCCAATGATGTTGGGGAGAGTAGTCTAAAGCTAGTGACTTTAATGAATTCTGTGTGAAGAGGCTGGGAGGGAGGGTTTAGGTAATCCATTACATGGATGTTCAAAGTATTTGGAGAGAAGTGTTTGGTACAGTTATGATGACATTCCACAGCATGGCACTTGTAATGCACTAGGTACCCTTTTAAAGACTTTGCATATGTTCCTTCATTTAATCCTCACCTCAAACCTATGAGGTGCTTCCTGTTATTATTTCCTTTTTACTGATGAGGAAGTTGAAACACAGAGGTTAACTACCTTGCCCAAGTTCACACAACTAGTAGAGGCAGGATCCGGAGGCTGAGGAATGCTTAAGTCATGTTCCTCCTCTCTTTGTTCAATCATCCAGTCCTTCCACAGACAACCTGACTGGCAACCATTATACCAAGTGCAATATTCATATTGGAGTCAACATATTAATTTGAAGTTTTGAGCCAGTGCCAGGCTCCCAAAACCTGTCCTGGGGAATATAGCTTAATTGGTACAGTATAGCAAAATGTCCTGCTTGTTGAAACTAAATTTGTAGTTATCTTCTTTTTCATCAGTAAGTCATTGAGGGTTGTATCCCAGCAAAATAGGATATAAGGTCTCCAAACAAAAAGGGGATTACGGAGTTTCATTATAAAGAAAGTTGGATTAGTCTTTTAGTAGTTGGGTACCTGAAGATGTGGTATTCAGCCAGAGTAAACACACAGTGGTTTGGACTCTGGATGTGCAGGTTTGCAGAAGATGAAATTCTGTTGTTGGTCTTCAGCTGGAGAAGTATTTGCATCTGCTGAGAGGAAAAAGCATTGCTCTGATCTCTGATTGCTCCTGTTCTCAACCTGTACCAGGTTGAGAGAGCTCATTTCTGGTTTGGGGGCAAGCTTTTCCCAGTTCATTTGTTTTACTGCAGTTAGAACCTCCCATATTTTTACACTTCACAAATTATACCTGAAAATTTTTAAGTCACCATGGTAACTGTCTCTCCAGCATCATTCCCTGGACACTGAAGAATGAGGGAATTGACATATATCAACAGGGAGGGGGTGGGAGTTGTTTTATTATTGCTGCTCTCTCAAGCCAGTAGGAAAGTGCTCTAATACCTGTGATCAGGAGGATTAGTGATACCTCAAGTTTGGGATGTAAGAGGGTGGATCCTGCTATGCCATTTATTTCTAGTCTGTGCAAGAAGTTATTGTGGCTGGTACCAGTATGGTGGAAAAGGGCGATGGAAAATGGAGAATTGATGCAAGAAATAATGTGCCGGTAGAACAAAGGGACTTTCTGACATGGGAGATTCAGGAGAGTTTAGAAATAGTACCCAACTTAAGATTCAATTGAGGGCTGGGCTGTGGCTCAGTGGTAAAGTGCTCACCTACCATGCATGAGGCACTGGGTTCGATCCTCAGCACCACATGAAAATAAAATGAAGATCTTGTATCCACCTATAATTAAAAAATAAATATTTTTTTAAATGTTTCAATTGAGGATGGGGGTATAGCTCAGCAGTAGAGCATATAGTTAGTATTCTGAGTTTGATCCCCAGCATCAAGATTTGATTGAACAACTGGTGAATGATGAATCCATTCCACAAAAGAGAGGAAATTGAAGGAGGAGCAGGTTTTCCAGAATCCTTTTTTTTTTTTTTTTTTTTTTACTCTTTTGGGTTTGAGTTGCCTACTATTTTAATTCCAATTGAAGATGTAAAGTAAACAAAGGGTTGTACGAGTTTGGATTTCATAGACGAGGTCAGGGTTGGACATGTAAATTTGAGAAATGGTATTAATTACCCTGAGAATTGATAATAAAACATGAAGAACTGAATGACAATGAAAATTCCATCTTTTTGTGTGTGTGTATGTGGTGCTGGGGATTGAATTCATGGCCTTGTGCATCGGAGGAAAGCACTCTTCCAACTGAGCTATATCCCCAGCCCAAAAATTCTATCTTTGAGCCAGGCTTGTTGAATATAGTCAACCCAAGCAGTACTCAAAGGCAAATTTAAAGCCAAAGTACATATACTTCATATTATATGAAAAAAGACTGAAATACAATGAATGTGTAATGTAATTGATTAGGTAGGTAGAAGGGATGATATAATGAAGAGTAGAAATGAATGATAAAGAAATCAAAGAAGCAATAGAAAAATTAGTTAAACCAAAAGTAAATTCACACAGAAAACTAATAACCCTCTGAACAAACTGGCCTAGAATAGAGACAAATGTACAAATTAAAATTATTTGAGCCAGGTGCACTCCTGTAATCCCAGTAGCTTGGGAGGCTGAGGCAGGAGGATCACAAGTTCAAAGCTGGCTTCAGCAACTTAGTGAGATCCTCTCTCAAAATAAAAAAAGTCGGGGGGGATGGGATGTAGCTCAGTGGTTAAGTGCCCACGTTAAATCCCCAGTACTAAAAAAAATAAAAACTAAAAAAAAATTGGAATGAGTGCTCAATGCCACTTAAAAGTGCCAATTAAAAAACGTGGAATAAAATGAAGAGCTATAGAGCCAGGTGTGGTGGTGCATGCCTGTAATCCTAGTGGCTTGGGAGATTCAGACAGGAGGATCGCAAGTTCAAAGCCAGCCTCAGCAATGGTGAGGCGCTTAGCAACTCAGTGAGACCCTATTTCTAAATAAAATACAAAATAGGGCTGGGGATGTGGTTCAGTGGTTGAGTACCCCTGAGTTCAATCCCTAGTACAAAAAAAAAAAAAAAAAAGGAAGCGCTATAACTATGGATACACTATAGATAAGTTCTATGATTTGATATGATGTTTCATAATGACTTTAAATATTCCATTGAAGTGCAGAGGTTTATAGATGAAACAAGTTATTCAAAATGTGAATAATTACTGAAGCTGATTGATGGGTACATGGGGGAATCATTATACTGTTTTCTATGTGTTTAAAAAATTTTTCTATGTGTTTAAAATTTTCCATTAAAATCATTTTGAAAAGCCCTTCTAAATCATTTGAAAACTTAAGTAATGTCAGGAATTTCTTAGAGCTGAATCAACCTTTAAATATTAAGATCTTCAGTAGTTCAGAATCAAAATATTATAGGCAATGTAAGAAATGAGGAAGGCCCTTGAACATGAGCCAGTGCTAGCAAAGTAGGTCCTGCTGAATAAGAGCCATCTCCCCTTCCACTCAGGTTTGTATGGAATATAGTCCTTGATCCAGCAACTCCACTTCTAGGAATGTACCCTCAGGAAATAATTGGTCATATGTGCACACCTATATATGAATAAGGATGTCCTAAGTGGATTCATAATAGTAAATCAATTGAAACAAGGCAATGATGAACACTAAGGGGGCTTA